ATGTTTGGTGGGACGGGGATTCGAACCCACGACCCTCAGATTGCGAGTCGAGTGCCTTAAGCACCTGGCCATGCCGGGCCACCACAAATAATGTCTACTTTAGTTGTTCATATAGAAGTAACAACACACCACCGGAAACTTGCATTTTCAAACTTATTCACAAAGAGACATATGTTGAGAATTTATCGGTGGATAATGAAAAACAACAACAAAAAAACTGAAGTAAAATATTAATATATTTCAACATTTCCATAAAAATCATAATATTATTATTATTCATTAATCAAAATCTTCGGAAGTTTTTTAACGCTATACACCGGAAACTTGCATTTTCAAACTTATTCACAAAGAGACATATGTTGAGAATTTATCGGTGGATAATGAAAAACAACAATGAAAAAAAAGAAAAACAAAAAAACTGAAGTATAATATTAATATATTTCAACATTTCCATAAAAATGATAATATTATTATTATTATTCATTAATCAAAATCTTCGGAAGTTTTTTAACGCTATACACTAGTATTTGTAAGGTTGAAAGAAACAAAAACATTCTTTATTTTAGTTATTCGTATTTTGAAACTGATTTTTATATATATTTGTCTCCTTTTAAAGAACACGATCGTAAGTTTGACATTTGTGTCCTTCATCCTGTTACTATAGGAAATAGCCTTCGATTGGGCAAGTTTTTCATTCATTCTATTAAAAAGCACGTGACTAACGTAGACGCTAGTAAATGATGACTTGAAATAACATTAACAGTTTTGTAAGTCATCCGAACTTGGGAAGGGCGTTCTCTGTCTTATCTCAAACATTATAAAAAAATCCTACTTTCCCCCTTCATACTGAGCTCGGTAGAACTGCTTAGATTTTGGCACTTTCAGTTACTGCTTATTAACCGAGTGATGGCATGCAACTCAGCATAAACTTTGGTTCTTGGTGAATTACAACAAGGACAAAACCATTAAAATAGTATCAATAAAATAACTTGCAAGTAATGCATATTTTTTTAAAGACTCACTCCTTCAGTGCCAAAAAAACTATCTGGTGATTAGTCAGATTTTACAACTACATACAAACCTTCTTTCTCAGCTAGATTTCTTGAGAATAAATCACGATTATCTTTTGAAATATTCCAACTAACACATTCAGTGAAAAATATGTTTCCTTACAAATAAGATATTAGTGTAAAGATTCAAGACACTGACATTTGTGAAGTTGATATATATTTTATTTGTTTAAAATCACTCCAAGAGTTTGAACTTTTATTACACAGAACATAATTCTTTGGTAAAGAAGAAACCATTAACTTTCATGTAGGAATTAATCTATCATCTAGGTGATAATCTTGTGTTAGTTACCAGTCAGCAAGTAAACCACAGTGAAGATTAACTGAAAAATATTTTGGCTGTGGATTTACTTACTAGACAACTAGTGAGATTCTAGTTCAATTTTATTAGCTTACAAGTGATAAATGCACCATTATAATGGTATTAAAATCAACACACAAGATCTCAGTTATGTTGTATTAGAAACTTAAAGTAACAATTACTGGTCGGAATACAACACTGATCAAATAAGGGAACAAAGTTTCACAGAACTCGAAACTATGAATGATCTCAATATCATAACTACTGTACAGTGTTCAGGCTGTCTACTCACCAGAACTAAGAATGGTGCCAAAAAACTATACAAATAATATATTTGTTTAAGTCCTAATATGCAGCAAATGTGGTTATTCCAAAAATACTCTATGTGATTCAAAATCCAAACATTTATAAGCTTTTAATTACATTTTGGCAGCTCTCACAAACGAACTTTGGATCAAACAGTGATACAAATATTTATTGCAATGTGTTCACATTAGCTTTTTAATAAGTAAAATATGGGTTTGGTTTCATGGACTAACTCATCATATAAACTAAGAAACTCATAAATATACACAATTAGTAAAGTCTCTTAAAATCAAATAACATAAAAAATACAATAGATGCAGCAGCTACAAGCCTTCACATATACAACCTGAAAAAACAATTATCATTTATTAAACCTAATATGTAGCATCACCATTGAATTAACTCAGTCAAGAATTTTCTTTTATACTTAATACACTTTACATACAAGTGAAAAATGCAATAATATGTTAAGTAATCATAATAAAACTGCAAACATTTCTTTGAACTATTTAAATTCTAATTAATAAAGATTATCATAAATGCAGCCTATAACCATATTACATATTTCACCTTCATTTTAACACATTATCAAATTCACAAGCTTCATATGTTATCACTTCAAATAAATCTCAACAGAACATTTTGTATTTAAAATATAATATGATATATTGCATAAAACTCTGAGAAACAAAGTGACTCTGTATATAGAAATAAACTTGAGATTCAGATATATATTTGGGCTAGCATTTAACTAAAAGGAAACAAAAGTATAACAAAGTAAGCATGTTACAAACATTAACGAGTCTTACGTGGATTACAAAACATGATTTTGATAAATATTATCAAATTCATTAAATAAACATTTTCCAAATTTTTTTATAATAAATGCATTTAGAGGTTTTGACTATCTAAAGATCCAGCGACCGCAAACAACACAGCATCATGAACAGAAGGAAAAATATGGTCCCTTGGGATGTGCTCAAAAAACTCCAATCTTTCGAGTCTTTCCAGCAATGAGTCTGGAAGGTCAGAATTAGAAATTTAAAAATCAAAACCAGCTGTTACTATTATTAATAACACTGAATGTTAGAAATCTTAATTTGTTTATTTTCTATCAGCCCAATAGAAGGAAATAGTTAAGTTACTAGAAAAAAGCTACATTATCATTATGAAGTATTGCTAATAAACAACTATGTTTCCATTTTCTTTGTGCAAAAAATCAGCTGTTTTTTTTAGAGGAAACCTAAGCCACATTAATACCTACATTAAAAAATATATATCAAAGGCTTTTAATAACTCTGAAAACCATTTACATCCCAAATGGCACAAAGTAAAAAGTGAATTAATCTATATATATAAAAGAGGAAGTTTGTTTATTTGTTTATTTTGTTTGCTATAAGAAACCAAATGGTTGAACTTACAAATTCTAAAATAACTTCATAATAACCAGTTTTTTACAAGAAATTTAATGATGCTATTTATTTTGTATTTGGTGTAGTATTTAATGATAAAATTGACAATTAATGACTATTGCGCCATTTTTTTGTAATAAACATATAAACACAAGCACGTTTTTGCACATAGAAAGTGTTATGGCGGGAGACACTCAGATCACCTTGCTGTCAATTCAGTATTTCCAAAAACAGTTTTCTTTAAATAGTGCTAAGTGGTTTCATAAGTGATTTAGTAACTTTGTGAATTGCAAATTACTGTTTAGTGATACAGGTGATTATGCCACCCAAGAAACGCCCTTTCTATGGAAAGTCTTCTGCTACTAAAAGAATGCAAGCACAAAGAGCAGCTGAAACAGAAGAAGAACGCAGCCAAAGACTTCAAGCACAAGCTGCAAGTCTGGCTACTCAAATACAGGAAGATACTTTGGAAC